AATACCAGCCATTAAGGAGCAAGTTGATACATTATCTAGACTTTTCCTTCTTGTGTGTTAGCAGCTGTTCAGAAGAATCAACATCTAGGTAATGACAAAGGACTTTTCTGCCACTGAGCTGAGAAATTCAGCACCATAGCTGGCTTTCCTTCCACTGTCACTTAGTGGCTACTAATGTGTAATGAGGGAAAAGCTAGAAACTTTTTAAATCAGTGTCAGTAGCAGTCTTGTTAATCGCACCTGAAAAGGGGGCGGGGTCAGTTTAGAGGAGACACAGTGCTACGGGGATCTGAGTTTGGGTCTGCAGCCCCTTGGCCAGAAGCACTGTAAAGGCCTGAGTGTTCATCCTCTGGGTGAAGTGTTGCTCCCAGATATCCTCTCTAGCCAGTGCAAAACTTGATGGTGATAGGATACCGAGGAGCCATATTTTGCTCTCTGACAGGAGGGGAGGGGAGGGGAGGGTCACTGCTACAAGAATAAAATAGTAAGAGGCAACCTGGATGCACTCAATGCATCTTCTGTAGTAACCATGCTCTGAGTTCCCCTAGCCTCTGTTTGACAGAAGCTGGGAATGGGTGACAGGGGCTGGATCACTTGATGATTCCCTGTTCTGTTCATTCCCTCTGGGGCACCTGGCATTGGCCACTGTTGGAAGACCGGATACTGGGCTAGATGGACCATTGCTCTGATTCACTATGGCTGTTCTTATATTCTTATGTAACTTTCCACAGTAAAATAACTCATTAGTTGTACACTGCTTGAGCTCGACATTCCAAGGGTCATGAGTTGCAACGCACCATCGCTGTCAGAGATGCTGACCTAAAAATGTCCTGTGGATTCAGCACCGCCAGAGCCTGGAGCTATGAAAGAAATGGCAGAATATAAGGAGTGGGGGGGGGATCAGTACCAGTTCTGCTGGCTTGTGTAAGAAGAGAGCTGATCCTCTAGTTCAGCTGGTAAAGCATTTGTCTGAAATGTCACGGGGAGTCAGGCTGATCCTGAGTCCCGCTCCCCCGGACAGCGGGCTGAGTTCAGAGGCGTAATGGTGCTGTACATTACACATTCTGCATCGGAGACTGTAAACTGATGGGGTCTTACATGCCTGGGGGGGCTGGAGGGTAGAAAGAAAAGCAGCCCCTAGGAGACTGTATACCTAGCTTTGTACCTGTGAGTTGGGCCCAAAGTCTCTAATTAGCCTCGTGATCTAATCCTGCATCTCCATTGCTGCCCGTGTGGAGAAATAGGTGCACAGGGAATAACATTACAAACTCCCATTAATAAAGCAGGAAAGACACTGCAGGCAGCGCTTCACTCCTGAGACGCATAAATAAACCAACAGCTGCTATTTCTTTCTCTGTTTTTGAAAACTGATCTAGAAGACTGGTAAGCGCACTTTCTAACACCTATTAAAATCTGGATTTTCCCAGCTAGCTTATTAAAGGGAAAAGAGTGAATCCCATTCCAAATCTCTGTATTTCCCTAGAGGCTTTGCTTTCTCTGAAAGATGCTAAAGAAACTAAGCAGGGCTCCAGCACAGAATGTGGTAGCAGGAACGCCTGTTGTATTTAATTCCTGTCTAGCTCCAATACTGAGATTTAGCCTAGAAACCTAAGCCCCTGAATTCTAGCCACCACACTGCTGTTGCAACGAGTGACTGTACTGGTGAATAGATGGTCTAAGTTGGAGGTCAGGCTGGCGTTCTAAAGTCCCAGTTCACAAACAGCGAAGGCATTTTATTTATGCTTAAGAACCAGAAGACTGATGTAACCGGAAGTGATCTTGTCTTACATTCATATAGCATTTCCAGCCCAAAGGGTCCCAAAGCACTGCACAAACTCCGCATGTGCAGCGCTGCCCTGCTGAAATGCAGCCACCTAAGGCTGGAGAGTGGCAACCCCTAGCATCAGGCACACTGCACAGATGCAGAAGAGGGAAATGATTGGCTATGGATTGTGGAGCAAACCAGGACTCTTAGGGCAGGGGTCAAGGGATCAGTCCCATTCATGCAGTGCAGACAGGATCTCCGGTTTTAATGACTCAGCTGAAAGACTCGCACACAGTGATCTTGATTGTATCTCAGTCTAACTCAGGAGTATTCAGGGCTGATCACTAAGGGGCCAGATCTTCATGTGCTCAGGATCCCCAACAGGGTTGATATTTTTAAAAGTACTCAGCGCGTAACAGCTCCCTTTGTGACCCTTATGGCCAGATTTTCAAAAGAGTGGGGAAAATGTGGCCATATTCCCCATGTTTCACTGAACCACAGCCTGAAGTCTGTGTAATGTCTCTGGAGGTGGAAGGTGACGCAACTACTCTCAACTTCACACATGGAGAAACCAACCCCAGTAAAAAGAAGAACAGGAGGACTTGTGGCACCTTAGAGACTAACAAATTTATTAGAGCATAAGCTTTCGTGGACTACAGCCCACTTCTTCGGATGCATATAGCTCTTCTCTGGCTTGTCTATTTAAACCATGAACTCTTTATGGCAAGGACCATCTCTCACTCTGTATG